ACCATTTGGACTATGTTTACAACAAAGAGGTAGCAAGAAGACAGTTTCCATGGCCCTGTCGAAGTGGGAGGCGAGATTTGCCAATCGATGGCCGCATAATGCTCACATGCAGACGAGGCGATTTGCTTTGTTAAATGGCAACTCGTCAGAGCGGAAGTAGAAGAGACATTGGGACATTGGGCTGGGGCAGATGCTGCCGAAATTGCCGCATTTGAGGCTGGTCGCGAGGACGACCCACTGCGTCACGCAAAGAGGAAGAACACCAGTTCGGACGACTTGCGTTTGAGCTGGCCTCTAGCGACTCCGCGGCAGTCAAGACTGGGCTCGATGGTGAGATAGAATCTCATGTCATTGTGGCAAAAAGCTGAACTATTAGCCGTCATGCCAGCATATTCAGCAATTACTGATAAGTTAGAGACATACATTTAGGAAAAATAGTGGTGTTACCTTGACGTCGTACAACTTATGACCAGTTTATTCCGAGCTACTCCGAAATTTTGGGGTCATCTTGCGTGGATTATCACCTTCTCCACCAGTTTCATCTGGAATATGTCAAGTGTACATTTCGAAGATGGAGATAAGCATACATACTACTACTAGTACTACTTTTAAGTTGAATGGCTTTCGGTACATTCAGAAGTAGTTGGATAAGAACTCATCCACCCTTAGTCGCTTGAGGTGAGTTGAGGATTGATAGTTGAGTCTCGAGCACCTCCAACTAAATTCGCTTTACGGGAAAATCCCAACCGGTATCGAAAGATGCTCATTCCGAAAGTAAGTAATGTCGACGATTGCCATTTCAAATTCATATTTCCTAAAGCAACCATCTCATTATAAAGCTTTTTGTTGGGAGAGACATGAATTGCCTTAACTGTCGTGTAGTGGATTTCTAACCTCGCCGTGATGCCCAGCACCCGATATCGGAGATGAGCACAACAAGCAATCAATGGAGACCTCTTCAGAAGGCAGCTATCGTATCACGTTTACCACAAGGGACAAACTTCACAATATATGTCAACAGCAAGGCAAGCTCGAGACCCATCTTAAGCCTACGGCTTGTGGAGAAGCATG